CACCATTTAGTTGTTGGGGATCTCAGGCATGCTACTTAATTTTCCTTATCTATAAAATGGAGATAATTGAACCTATATAGCACAAGGTCGTTATGGGGATTCAAGATGGAAGGTACGTATAGAATCCAGGAGAGAGACTGGGAGAGGAAGGTGCTCAATAAACATTAGCTTATTTCTCAGAGGCTTGTTGAAAAGGTTAAATAAAATCATAAATACGATCCAGTTCATAGGGTAAGCAATTAGTGTCCAACTCTTCCCATTGAAGTGTTGTTTCCACTAAAGTCAATATTTGGCAGTTGTTTTCTTTATTGTTCAGTGTAATCATTCAAAGTAGATAATTCATTCAAGTCTTTACTTGGGACCTTGTGTTTGATGATCTCATTGTTGCTTTTAATTAAAATCATCTGAGAGATGGAAATGTACACTGGAACCACTGGAGGACAATTTTGTAATACCAACTAAAAGCATTTAAAATGTTATATCTTATCCATTGATCCCAAACTCCTACTTACATGAATTTACCCTTAGGAAATAATCAGAACAAAAAAGATTTATAGCTAGATGTTTAGTCAACTGCAATACAGGATGATAATAAAAATGGAAACAATCTAAATATGTAATAATAGAAGAATGGTTGAATAAATATCAGTCTCTCTCTTTGATGGAATAGTACACAGCAGTTAAGTCAAATTTTGAAGATTACATGACATGCGGAAAATAATCATTAAAATGTTCAATTTAAAGGCATGGTAACAACCTGTATGTACAATGAACCCAAATTTGTAAAATATGAAAGTACCAGATAAATCAATGAAGAAGCTGGCTCCTGCCTGAATTACCAGATGCATTAAAAATTGTATAAAATATTGAATAAACACACCCCAATTATGTTTCCCTTTAAATGTCTTCCAATTCTGATTCAATTAGAATCATATACTCGGTGTCGATAACGTGTTTATTTGTATTGATGAGAAACAAAAACAAGAAAGAAAAATGACTAGAAAGAACACTCCACTATGTTAATAACAACATTATCCATGGCCGGTGCGGTGGCTCACACCTGTAATCCCAGCACTTTGGGAGGCCAAGGTGGGCGGATCACGAGGTCAGGGGATAGAGACCATCCTGGCTAACCCAGTAAAACCCCGTCTCTACTAAAAATACAAAAAATTAGCCAGGCTTTCTAAATGGTTTTTTCACTCCAAGAAGTAGCCTGCAATTCATGAAATAATTGTGAAGTAGTGTGTTGCACTGGAAGAATCTTGGGTTTGGGATTCTTATCACCATTTAGTTGTTGGGGATCTCAGGCATGCTACTTAATTTTCCTTATCTATAAAATGGAGATAATTGAAC